CAGAAGCACTTTGTGTGGCTTTTGGCCAAATACATCTCTTTTACTGAATACATGTCGGCTACTGCCTCCACTTCACCTCCATTTCTCTCAATAAAAAGCAAAACCAGACAAATTTCATTCCATTTCTTTTGCACAATTGTTGTTCTGTGAGCAGAATGTTTTGCCCTCCTGAGTTTTGACAAAATCTGTGCTTTTTTCTGTCAGTTCGCGTCCTCGAAGTGTTCCTTAAAGTGAGGGGTGGGCGGTACTACAACTTTGATATTGATCTGATACCAAATAAATACTTGGCAAATATATTTGTTACCAAAGTCAACATCTATGTTGACTTTGTTTTCGTTGCAGCAGATGGTTGTCCTACAATGCTCAGAAATGAGTGTCATAAGATTTTGTGCTCGGCATGATCTGAGGAGAAAAAGATTTATGTCAGACGCAGAACTGGAAAGCGCTTTGATTCAGTTTATATATCAGGTAACCATTATATCTATGTAATGGGGTGTTCATTAAATAACTTTGATATTGCAGGCACCCTTTCAGGTGAAAAACAGTTTATTGTAGGGATACAGTAAGTTGCCACGACCTGTCATGGATTATGAACAAACAAGCTTTTTTCATTTCAGTTTTAAAGTAATTTTCTTTTTTGCTGCCTAAAACAGAAAAAGAAACTCAAACATTTTAAAAAATTTGTTCATCCGTTTTTGACACAAAGAATGAGAAATGAAACACTTTGTATTTTAATTTCAATATTTTAAAACAAAAATCAAATAACCACTCATTTCTTGTTTATTAATACCTGTTTCTAAAATAAAAATCCAATGACCAAAAGAAACACTGACCGCAGATACAGGAATTTTTTTTCTTTTAATCCTCTGAGATCGGTAAAGCTGTGATGCTTTCACAGGGCTTCTGTAAAAAAAAACTGAGAGCTTTCAGTGTTCATTTGAGCTGGATTGGACAGCACGGACTTCAAACTTTATAAAAATAATGTTAAAACCAGATGTAATGATGAATAATTTTTGCAATGTGCACTTTTTACACATTTGCTGCGCATTTAGAGAACGTTTTGTGAACAGGAAGTCCATGACTGCACCATGAAATCTATTTTTCCCATTTCCTCAAACACACCACATCAAAACAGTTTGTCTCTACTAGGCTTGTAAACAGAGAGCTGCCGGGCCTCAAAGTTTGGAGACGGGGGGGGGCAGGAAGCACTTTATAAAGAGAGTCAAACCATTACAAACTCATACAAGAGGATAAAACAGACGTTTTACATGGTGAAATGTGACTGATGAAAACTTAGGAGCTTTATCCGACACCAGTTTGACGATGAATAATGTCGGGTGATGAGTCTGACTTTTTTTTCCACATTGGACTCCTCCGAGAAGAAATCCCGTGCGTACCGCCTGCTTAAATGTTCACTACGTCAGAACTTATTCAGCAAATGTGTTTCCATCTCTGATTTTGCGCATTAACTCTTACAGGATGGGGGAAATTGGTCTTGGCGGAGGTTTGCACTCCCCGAGTGCTTCTAGTTTATTTATTTATTTATTTATTTATTTATTTATTTATTTATTTATTTATAGCCGTTTGATTTGTTTTTAAGGTCAGTTAGCTGCGGCAGCCATTTAGATTTAGATTGACTCAAGTTATTCAGTCATACATGTCCATCCAATGATTACTTTTCTGAAAGCTTCATTAAACTTGGTCCAGTGTTTTATGAGATTATTTGCTAACAGACAGAATTGACCTCTTGTAGCTAATAATAATATTTTTCATCAGAGATCTTGTGCTCAGGATGTGTTGTGAATAAGTCTTTCCTTGTCGACGGTGCAGAGAGGATATTAAATCCCTGTTTTTCTCTCTCCAGGACCAACATTCTTTCAGCTCTTGGTTCTGTTTGAGAAGTTTGTAAATGACACAAAAATCCAGCACTCAAGGTTTTATTTTCCAGCTGAAGTGTGGCTGGGGAAGGAATATGTGTGTGTGTGTGTGTGTGTGTGTGTGTGTGTGTGTGTGTGTGTGTGTGTGTGTGTGTGTGTGTGTGTGTGTGTGTGTGTGTGTGTGTGTGTGTGTGCGCGCGCGCGCGCAGGGGATTGTGTGTGAAAGTGCTGTTGTGTGCGGTTTCTGAACTCAGCTGCTAGCAGTTTAAAATGCACAGCAGAACGGTTTCCCTGTCTTTGCATTTCTTCTTGTTCCACTTCGTCCTCCTGTCACACCTAACTGCCCTGTTTCTGCACAGTGCTGTGTTTGTGTTGATGTGTGTGAGAGCCATAATTTGTGTGTTAAATACTGAGGTGAGCTCCGCTGCTCTGTGGCTGTACAGTGCAGATAAACCCAGTCCTGAAAAGGCCATCAGGACAGTGACAGAACCACCCAGAACCAACTTGTTTCTGTGAATTCAGCATCACACTAGTGTTTTCTTATGTTTAACTTTCTTTACTTTCTTTATTTTTTATTTATTTACCATTATTTAACCAGGCAAGTCCCATTGAGATCTCAGATCTGTTTTTCAAGGGAGTCCTGGGCCTGAAGGCAACCTACTGTACATGTTTTTGTGGGGTGAGGAAACTGGAGTACCCGGAGAAAACCCACGCAAGCACGAGGAGAACATGTAAACTCCACACAGAAAGACCCCAGGTCCGAACCGGGGATCGAACCCAGGACCTTCTTGTTGTGGGGCGTCAGTGCTAACCACTGAGCCGTCGTGCTGTAATCTTACTACAGTATAATTTGTGCTTCATTAAACAGTCATGTATCAAAAAGTTTAGCTGAAACTGTAGGTACTGACTTTTAGTTTTTACAACATGTATATATTAATGAATAAGTGGATTTAGAAATATTCTCCTATCACAGAACTCCTTTAAAACATTGTTCTCCTTGAAATCTGCTTCAGCTTGCTCTTTTTTATCTTTTACTTCAGCTTTTTGTTACTTTTAGCTCTTAGCAAGTCATTTGTTACTTTGAGCTTTTAGTTAGTGTTCTGCTACTTTTAGCTTTTAATTAGTCTTTACTTTTTAGATTGAACTAAGTCAGACCAACTTGTTTTCTGTGTTCTGACAATTTCATGTTGACTGGGTCAAGATGGTCAGAGATGGACCATTCCAAGCAAAAAAAGGTCACTTCCAGTCCTCAGGGAGCGGGGCTACAATGCTTTATAACACCTATAACATCACAAATGAGGGAAGAATGGAGCGGGAGATCGACAGGCAGATTGCTGCTGCATCTGCAGTGATGCGGGCGCTGTACCGGTCTGCTGTGGTGAAGTAAGAGCTGAGCCAAAAGATGAAGCTCTTGATTTACCAGTCGGTCTACATTCCTACCCTCAACTATGGTCACGAGCTTTGGGTAGTGACCGAAAGAACGAGATTGTTGAAACAAGCGATACAAGAGATAGGGTGAGAAGTGCAGTCATCCAGAAGGGACTCAGAGTAGAGCCGCTGCTTCTCCACGTCGAGCGGAGCCAGTTGAGGTGGCTTGGGCATCTGGTTAGGATGCCTCCTGGATGCCTCCCTGGTGTTTCGGGCATGTCCCACTGGAGGAGACCCAGAGGAAGACCCAGGACACGCTGGAGGACTATGTTTCTCTGCTGGGCTGGGAGCGCCTTGGGATTGATTTGATTTGATTTGATG